CCCATCTATTTTTACCCTATTTGTCAACACTAACTGCGCGAAATGAATTCACAGAAATCCTTTTCAACACATGTAAAAGATACATTGAGTCACAAGGAAATGATAGAATGTTGAGAGAAATAAGGAAACCAATTTGGGTATATTTACAGCAACAGTGCCCCTCGTTTTTGGCAAGGCATGCTTCAGTCAGATTTTCGAGGGACGAACCTTTGGGGATCTTTCTTCAGAGGAAATGAATATATTTTCATCTCAGAGAATCTTTGAATCATTTTGTAAGACCTGCCATGACAATGTAGCTCTCAAAAGCTCTATTTTGGTTAACTATGTGACAAGATCAGCATTACAAAAATTTAAATTGGATCACAATTCTTGGCCACATTTTATCTCTGCCATTCAAACTGAACCAGGAAAGTTGAATTGTCCTAATTGTGAAACCCCTACAGATGACCCAGTTTTAACCTATAGTTCACAGGCAAAATTTGTCTTTATTGAATTCTCTCCGGAACTTATGGATTTGATACATTTGTGTGAAAATATGCATGTAGGCTCAAGTGAATATAAGTTAAAGGGGATGGTATGTTGTTATAATGGACATTTTACCTGCGCAGTTCTTACTCAAGGGAAATGGACCTACATTGATGATCTTTGTGTAGGTGTTAAAGAATTCTGTACTTTAGCTGCTCTAAAAAAGGCAGTTTTCAAAAGGGTGGTTCTTTGCAATTTATGAAGATAGCAACATGGTTTCCAAACCTGAATCATGTGGAATAGTTAATAAACAAATGAAATCCAATATAGATTTCACTGAGATACCCATTAAGAGAAGATGCTTTAAATCTAACATCAATTTTCAAACACCAGTTACGACTATTATCAGGTGCTTACTGAAGAAAGTCATGCCATGCGCATGTATCCTGATTCCAAAACTGAAATAAAGCAGTCTAAGCAACAAAATATCTTTAAAACAAAGGAGGCAAAGAAACGAAAAATTAAACGTTCAAATCTAGAAAAAAAGAAAAAGGCAAAGTTAGACTCAACAGTGGAAAGCAATTGCAACAGTACAATAAAAACACCCGCAAATGTCTCAAGTACAACTAAGCAATCTGCCTCAACCAATAGTTTCCCTTCATACAAAGTTGCAACAGAAAATGGCGAGTTGTTGAACAGTCAAATTACGCAATCTGCTCTACCAAACATGCCTTTGAATAATGATAATAACCTGGATAATTTCTCTGTTGTAGTTGACAAAACTCTTCTAATAATTATGAACAAGTGAAAAAAGTGAAGTTAACCTGTAGAGATAATTGCAAGACTGCAAGACGGAATAAAATAGGTGTAAGCCTAACTGAACAATCTGTCTTGGCCAATGATGCTCCTTTACACGAAAGCACAATAGTAAATGACAAGCTATCTACCAATCCTATCAAGCAATCTGTTTCATCAGAGTTACCTTTGAATAATAAAAAGAAATCAGATAACTTCTCAGTATTCCATGACAAAAGCAACAATTCATCTTATTTCAATAACACAATGCAAGGTGGTAAAGAATTTCATTCCCAACCATTTGCAGTTAAAATATGAGGAAATTTCACAACAGTATAAAATACACTGTTTATCATTGTAGCATTTGCCAAGAAGCTTGGCCTTTGAAGGCAAAACCCCAAAATTATCCTAACTATACTTGTTCACGTTGCACAAGAGACGAAAGTACTCCAAAAAAGTTTTCAACTGAAAATTATATGATCCCATCGCCAGTGCCCAAAGAATTGCAAGGTTTAACACAGTTTGAAGAAACGTTGATTGCACGAGCTTTTCCGGTTATGCATGTGTATACCAAACTAAGAGGTGGTCAAAAGGCATACAAAGGTCATGTTATAACTTGGCCCCAAGATGTGCAACAGCTTGCAGATGTTTTGCCACGATGTCCTAAGGACCTTCCTGTCATTGTGTTTACTGTAAATGGTAAAAACAATTGTTCTGAGGATTTTATTGTCAGGCTTAAAAAAGTATCTGATGCTCTATACTGGCTAACAGGTGTAGACAAACATGGAGAGCCTAATAATTTCTTATACAAAGATGTCAGAATCAGTAAAGAAAACCTGACACAACTTCCAGATAATGGAGTTCTTTCAAATGTACTAAAGGTAGAATGTGATGTTGAGAACAATGGTGCAACAAGTTCACATATTAAAGTCGATAGTGGTCCAGTTGAATATGAGGACAATGAAAGAGTTTACAATTCAGATAGTAAAATGGGTAGTTTTATTCCTTCAAATGTCAGTACCAAAAAAGAAAAACAAATTGTTGAAGATGCCTTCATTAAGCAACCACAATCTCATGATTGGACTATTGGCAGTGAGCCTTGAAATGAATTCAATATGCAGTTCTCAGCATCATTGGCATTTCCAACTCTTTTTCCCCGATGGAAAAGGTGACCCGACTAATAGTGCGGTTGTTTCTGATATATCAAATAATGAAACTCAATCATTTGCTGAAAAGCTCAAGCATTTGATAAAGTTTGCAGAACAGAAAGATGGACAATGGGTTTACAGATTTGCATCTCACCCTAGATTTGCTTATTGGGCTTACAATATCATTTATAGAAAAATAATCTTGGGGCAAAGTAATTTCTTCCTGAAACAAAATCCATCAGAAGCAAATCTATCAATTCATGACTTAAAGCAAATGATTTTGTCTAACTCCTATGAATCACTTATATCTAAACTCATGCACTATGCTAAGAATATTTCTGGCACACATGCATACTGGAATCGGGCAAAAGATGATTTGAAAGCTATAATAACACAAGTTGGCGCTCCCACCATTTTTTGGACTTTGTCTTGTGCTGAATTTCATTGGCCAGAATTTCATGAACTCTTTAACAATAGCAGTGAACTGACAGATTCTCAGAGGCGAGATAATGTCATAAATAACCCTCGTTTGCTTGACTGGTTTTTCACTGAAAGAACTGAACAATTTGTAAAACATTGGCTCAAAAATACACTAGGTGTAACATGGCATTGGTTTAGATATGAATTTTCTGTACAGAGAGGATCTATTCACTGCCACGGAGTAGCAAAACTTGAAAGTGACCCTGGCTTATGCGAACTGTCTAAAACAGCACTTAAAGGTCATATTGCAACTCAGTCTGTAAATGATGGCAACCTTTCTCCAGAACTATTGTCAGAGAAGATAGAAGAAATTAATAAGGGCAAAGAAGCTGAAACCATTATTTGTGACTATGTAGATTATCTAATGTCAACACAAAATCCAGCTAACCCAGATGATGGAAGTTGGGTGAAGCCAGCAAATCACTTATGTAAACTTCGATTTGAAGATATTCAAAATGATTGGGACAATGATTATGAAAATCTAGTAAATACAGTGCAAAGACATACCAATTGCAGAAGAAATGCATCAGTTACTTTCACTAAAGCTTGTTAGTTCAACATTCCAAGTTATTTCGTCATCACTTGATGGTTCCCGTAAAGTATCTTTATCAGAAAATGATACATTGGACACTGAAAAATCATTGTTAGATTTGTATGCGAAAAGAAATATGTTTGAAGCTGATCATCCTGGAATTTCTTAATGTAATTTTGTACAATTCGCTTCAAATTACTTCAAGGCCAAATTAGGTACAGCAAAACGCACTAATCCAGTTGTTTTGGAAACAATTCCTAATTATTCGTCTAACACCAAGGGTCCAAATTACGGTTTGCTTTGTCGATATCTATTACTAAAGTATAAGCCATGGTGCAATGTTCTTGATGACGCTTGGTGCAATGAGAAAGCTTCTGATTCTGTTTACATTAACCAATGGCACATATACTTACAAACGCCTGATGCCCAATTTCTTGTGCCAAACTGGTCACAGCAAATCAATTCTATTTCAGAATATGTGCAACAACTGGTAAATAACGATGACTACATTGAATCTGACACTGGTGAAAGAGAGGAATGGATGATAATTGCAGATATGAAATTGCAAAGTGATAATGGCAACAAGCTTAGTCTGAATTATCCTTCTGATTTCTATGCACAGGATAGGTTAAAATACACTGCTCAGGAAATTGGAGATATGCCCCACTGGATTAATATGCAAAAAAAAAGGCGACAACTTGAGAAAGGAAACAACTCTAACGCGGGTTAATATCAAAAAATTCAATGATGCCCAAAGGATTTCTTATAACATTGTTCAAGATCACTTTATTTCTGAAAACAAGGAACCACTATTAATCATGATTACTGGACTAGGAGGTTCTGGTAAAAGCTTTGTAATTCAAGCCTTAAGTCAACTTCTGCACACAAAGTGCAGAGTTTGTGCATTCTTTGGAATCGCAGCCTTTAATATCAAAGGAAAAACTTTACACTCGCTTTTGCAGCTTCCCATCAAAGGAAAGAAAAATGGGCCACTAAAATCATCAGCATTGGCAAAACTTCAGCATGATCTTGAGGATGTTAATTATCTCATCATTGATGAATTTTCAGTTATTGGTCAAAATACGTTTGGCTGGATAAATAGACGCTGTAAGCAGGCAACTGGTATTTCTACAGTTCCCTTTGGTGGTATGTCTATTATATTAGTTGGGGATATTGCACAGTTACCCCCAATCACAGACCAGGTTTTGTACCACACCAAACCCAAAAGTGAGTTGGCAGTCGAAGGATACTGCACGTATAAAAAATTTGAGACAGTTGTGAAGTTTGAAATTAACGAAAGAGCTAGGGGTGCTGATGATGAACAACAGCGATTTAGAGGTCTTCAAATAAGAGCCAGGGATGGTAATTCAACATTTGAAGATTGGAATTTGCTTTAATCAAGGCAACCACACAATGTCACTGATAAAACAAACTTTCAGAATACGGCTGTCAGATTATCCTTTAGTAATGAAAAAGTTGCTAAAGACAATTATGAAAGGCTAGAGCAACTCCAAGAAACTGTTGTGCAAATAAATGCCCATCACAGCAACCCAAGAGCAAAATCCTTAAGTTCTGAAGAAATGGGTGGACTAGAACCAATAATTTATCTATCAAAAAAAGCTAGAGTAACGCTTACCCGTAACCTTTGGACAGAGGCAGGACTTTGTAATGGTACTATGGGAACTATCAAAGATATAATATTTTCAGAAAGTCACAAGGTTACTATGCTACCCATTGCCATAATTGTACAGTTTAATGATGACTATCTGGGACCAAGTTTTTGTAAAGACACACCTAATTGTGTGCCTATATTCCCTGTCACAAGTTCCTCTAACACTCTTGGCAATAACTTCGAAAGAGTACAGTTCCCATTAAAACTCGCATGGTCAATGACAATCCACAAGTCACACGGCTTAACTCTCAAAAAGTGCTGGATTGACCTAGGATCAACTGAAAAGGTTGCAGGTTTAACATATGTTGCATTATCAAGAGTTCGTTAACTCTCCGACACTGTAATTGAACCACTTACTTTTGAAAGACTACATGCATTAAAAAAAACATCTAATTATAAATATAGACTTCTGGAAGAATCCAGGTTAGAACAATTGGCACAACATACATTGCAAAATAAAAGGAAAAATGTGACATATTTTTATGCATCTCTTACAGTGAAATGGATAACTACGAAAGTCCAAAAAGAAAATGAAGTTTGGGAAGTCATCTCCTCCCTCCTCTCCAACCTCTTCATCCTCTGCAAGTGAGTACACTAAAGAAATCTTAACATGATTCCAGGGTCAGTGCTTACTGGGTTTACTGCGGCCCTGGCCAATTGTTTTTAACCACAACATATTTCTTTTTTTTTTTCAAGATATTTATTGAACTCCAAAAACTTCCTTTGGCTTTCACTGTTTCATCTTGGGCCAGGCAAAAAAACAGGCCGTAACTTCACATACATGAATTTGCTGATATGCAACATATGATGCAATGATTGCATAATACTTATAAGAGGAGATTCAAAATTTACCAGCTGCCTTCAATCAATCCAAACAAAGAATTATTTTGAGCAAATAATATACCTGATGTTAAGCAAAGTTTACATAGAAAATGTTTCTAGCATTTTCATAAATAAGTTAACAAAATATAAAATAAACATTTTTTTTTCAGGCTTTACTGGATATGTACAAAGAGTAGACCGAAATCGAAAAAGCCAGCAAGGATTTACATATTACTTCGACATCATTCTACAGATGGCAGTAGACCAAACGCAGATGATAAGAATAATGATAAGTTCTATGGATGACACCATGAAAAGCCAGCTTTTCAAAGACAAACAAAAAGCACAACAGCCCATCACTATAACCAACCTTAGGGTTGTTCAGAGTGGCATGGTGTTTATGCACCAGAACAGCATTGTTAAGGATGTCTCCACGATGGCCATTTCATTTAAATATGTACCACCAGCAGCACCACCCCTGACATCTGTAGCAGATGTTTTAAAAACTAAGAGGCAAGGGGATATAGTCACAATCTCAGGCTTAATTCGATGGGACAGTGAAGCTTCAACACCACAAAACTCTAAACGACCAGTAAGAGATGGTAAATTAGTAGACTCAACAGGAACTATAGATATTTCGATTTGGTCAGACCACACTTCTCTGTCAAGGAAGGGGATTTCTTTGAGATCTCCAACTGCACTGTAAAGCACTACAGAAACCATCATAAAGCCAGCCGAGAAGCAAAATATTACCAACGTAAATACAGATGCAACTGCTATCAAGCCTCAAATCTGCTGCCCAGAAATACAAAATGTCATCATTGACACTAATGCAATGTGCAACACCAAAGGATGTAAAAGCAAAATCACAGGAAACACAGAATCTAAAGTTATGGTTAGTGGCACAGCCTGCAACAGGGCAATGCTCGTTAAAAACTGTTATGTTGACATGAGCACAACCTTTCAACTGGAAAAGGAAGAGAAGCAATTCAACGTTGTGGCAAACTATGCCACACTCAGCGTCTACCTAAATGAGGACATTTTCCAATACCGAAACAACATAGATGAACTGACAGAAAAACTTCTGTTGCTGGAAAATGTCGACTTCACATTGTCAAAAAACGGTAAATTTATTACCGAGATAGTAAATCACCAAATCAAAAATATATTGTATATATAGTTTCGTTCAAATTTCATACTTTTCTCTTTTTTCCACTTTTTATAAGCCAAATAGATTGTACACACATGTAGTTCCATTAATTTTTTTCCATTTTGATACCACATCACAATAGTTATATTGACGAAAAGCTCTAATCAATCAAAAAAGATCAATTATTATAAAAATATATTGTTGGTTCCAGTTATAATTCATCCACTTATCGTTTTTACAGTTTATAATAATAGAACGTTCTATTCAACAGACCAATTTTTCAATGCCTTTCAAAAAAATTCTATTTAAAATTGCCCTCTTAAGGTATAATTTTGTGTCTAATACCTGGTCTATTATGTGCAAAATGCCAGGTTTAAATATAATAATAAATTGTTCTTCAATGCTGTCTATAAATTGTTCTACAATGCCACCTATAACATTCCAATGTTAAAACTCACCCAAGTCCCTACATTCTGCTTCTTCTTGATCATGAAGAACAAACAAATCCTAAGTTAAACCACACAGCAAAAAAACAACATCCCAAGCACTTCCCAAAACTACATTTTGTACACTTGTAGTATTTTGAGATCCAAAATTACTAAAACCAAAGTACTGAGCCGCAATTCCATAACAACATAACAGGAAAATTACACAACTGTAAACAACAAGCCCAACTCAAAAAAACAAAAAAACAAAAGAAAATGGTACTGTAGGGCGGGGGCAGCGGCAGCTCTAGTGAGAACTATAACTAGTTTTAAATATAGCTATTTTAACAGGATTGTAGACATATGGAATTCCCTGCCATACTCAGTTCGTCAGGTACTTTGTATTAGCATTTTTAAGAGGAGTGATACTTAGCTTTCTCCTGGGATTTTGGCGATGGTGTTGTGAAGTATTTTCTGTTCACAGTTTTACCTTTCGGGTTGTCATCCGCACTGTATTTGTTCACCAAATTATCAAAGCCTATTCTTACTTCAAGGAGGTGCAAAGGAATTCCCATGGCTATTTTTCTCGATGACGGCTTAGGGGTTGGTACCAATTCTATCATGGCCAAAATCAACAGTTTGACAGTTCGCGCTGATTTGACTAGGTACGGCTTTGTTATCAACGAAGAGATGTCCCTTTGGGAGCCTGTTCAAGTTATTACCTGCCTCGGAACTGTTTTTGATACTTATCAAGGTCTTATTTCGGTTACCAAGCGAAGGGTTTCAAAGCTCAAGAGTAGGATTGATCTCTTACGTAAGGATAACTGTAAAATTTTAAAAGTTAGAGATGTAGCATCTGTGGTGGGCCAAGTCATCTCGCTCACTCCTTGTGTTGGAAGCGTAGCCAAAATCATGACACGTGCTCTGTACACCATTGTAAATCAGAAACAGTCATGGGACTCTCAGGTTGAGTTGTCAAAAGAAGCTTTTAATGAATTGACGTTTTGGATAGACAACGTCGATTCTGTTAATTTTTGTTGCCTTTCCAACCGCCTGCTAGATTTGTCTATCCTGACGCATCAGATTATGCTTGTAGTTCTTTTACTGAAAAAGAGTAGTACCTCGTGCGTTGTTGCTAGAGAAGGAGTTAATGGGAGAGAGTTATCTGCGAAGTTAATTACTGCGTTCATTTGCGACTTCTTTTCAGGCGAAGAGAGGACAATCGGCAAGCGTGTTTTTCTCTCCCCTTGTTGTTTTCGTTTTATTCTTTGATCGATTATTGTTAGGCTTTTGTGCGCTCGTCTTTTCTTGTGTTGTTATGTAATAATCATTTTTATTAGCTTACCTCCGTGTAATATCGCTTAGATTCGGTTTTTTGGCTTGTATTTTAGTTTGACATGTTTGACATCAGATTATTACCCTGCAATAAATCGCATTGGAATCACTGTTATACGTGTCTGGTGTCAAATTTTTTGCATTGACGTCCTTGGGACAACTTTGAATTGCGACATCCCTACGCTGTAAACGCCTGCATTTATAAGGCTGTAGGAACTTTAGTTATTCCTACATGGAAGTCTTCCTGTTTTTGGATTTTATGATGTGACAATGGAAAGCACTGGAACGCGTCTGTACACGATTGGGTGATTCTTCCCAAGTTCGAGCATCTTTTTCTTAGAGGTAAGGCCAAGAATCACGTTTTTGGCTCGAAGGATTTCTCCTTTAGTGTAGTAGCTTTGCGTCTAAATTTTGTGCAACCTTGAGCGCAGTCTGTTTTGGATTTTTGTA